TTTGAAGGCAACGCAGAAAGCAAATGCAAGAGATATTCAATTTTCCATATTATATAAATAATTATAGAAATAATCACCATCACTTCCATGAAAACTTTAATTTTTTTTACTAATCCTCCGCAACACCTATAAACACTCATCGAAATGTTATCAGACGAATTTTCAAGAAAACTTTTATTGCATAAATTATATTCCATGATCTGCAAGGGTAACATAAGTTACATTGATCATTATTTTTGTCCTGTCTTTAATCCTTAATTTTAGTGATAACTCGTTACAAAAAAGCAATTTCAGTTCTTTGGAATAATGTGAATTGCAAAAGGTTTTTACCGTTAAGGTCAATTGAAGGTTGAAGGTTGCGTAATGAGTACAAGTTTGCGTGAAATAAATTATGAAACGCATTCGTTATTCTGTCGTTCCGCTATATTTTATTATTGGTACTCATAGAACGGTTTTCGTTCGCTCCTGCAGGCTTTAAACGCGTTCATTACTATTCACCGACCGTTCATTACCATCTTCCATCTAATTCTTAGTAAATATTCGCCACTTTCTGTTTTTGTTTACTTTTCCTCACTACCAACGACATTTTAGCTGTACTAATTGAAAACAAAAGGTTGAGGCATGATGGCCTCTCGGGAATATTGAAGCAAATGTTTATCAATTTTATTGACTCAGTATTAGGCTACTAAGAGTAGGCATAAAAAAAGTAAAGTAACAGCCTATACATGTCCCACTGCTGGGCAAAGGCCTCCTCTATGCAGAGGGTATCTGGGCATAGTCCACCACGCGGCCCCACTGCGGATTAGCGGACTTCACATATCCTCGAAATATATATTATATATTTTTTGTTATTATTTCGAAAATATACAGTTTCCTTACGATGTTTTCCTTCACCGCGGAACATGTGATAGGTCAGCACTTAAAGTTAAAAACTTCATTGGTGCCGGCACCGGGATCGAACTCAGGTTGCTCGAGTATATTGAATTAAAGGCGAGCGCCCGGACACTGAGCTATCACGGCTCAGAGTAGGTATGAAAGACGATTTAATAAAAAAACGAGCTATTACATAATTGCTGTAAATTTATATTGTGTTTATAGCTTATAGCCAGTTTGCCAGATTAAAGGTCACTCAATCATTTTTGTATCCGCTCTAAAAATTTTTAGGATCGTATCCGAAGTATCGTTACGGCATTAGAAGGAAAGGCGATCATTTTAACCATCTTCACCTAAAATCTGAAGAATTTTCAAATTAGCGAATCATTCGATTCATCTTCGCTTTTTTTTCTCATCACCCACTCTTCTTTTTACTAAAGACTCAATCGAAGTCCGAATGGGACAGAAATTAACAGATAGCGGTGAGATACATGATGGCTTGGATATTCCAAGCCATCATGTATCTCACCGCAGGATTGGAGACGTATACCATTCGAGCTCTCAGTTCTGGAATTGACCAATAATGCGTGAAAGAAAAAATCACAATATAGAATGTCATGATGGGATTTCTAATTCTAATTCCTGATCCAATCCAATCTCACTAGAGGATCACTTATTAAGGCCAATTTACACGATGCCATTTTCTTGTACATACAAGAGCAATAATTGAATGCAATAAATTGCGCGCAATAATTGTTTAGACCATGCAACTCATTTATTGCTTCAATTTAATTGTATACAACAGGCAAGAAACTGGCACCATGTAAATGGGCCTCTTGTAAACTAGTATGCAATAAAAGGGACAGGAATTTTGTATTGTTGATAGTGTATATATTTTTTGTACAAATAATTAGGTGCCGGATATTATATTTTTATTTTTGATATTAGCGTCTGATGTTGTACCAGTTGGCCACTTAGACCGGGGAAATCAAAAATGCACCGCCTATACCAAAGATGGGCACTTCGTTTACCGTTCGGGTGCTTCGTTTACCAGTGGGATAACATTGTAATGAAGTGGGGGAAAACTCTGTGAAGCAAATTGTGGTACGTAATCCACGAAAGATCCTGTATGCATATTTTTTACGCATATCTTTCGGCTACAGATCATAACAATGTTAACAATTTGATCTCGGAATTCATAACCTAGAATTTTAAACGTGTCTCATTTGAACGATTAAAACTATTAAAGTTTAAGAAGGGAAGTCGTAAGGTCATGGGGAGAAAACACACTGCGTGGGTCTTGTTCTCACTGTTGAATTTGACACGTTATTTATTTAGATTCTTCTTGGTTTCAGATACAAAAAATAGTACTACGTACTATTTGAATCGAACAAAAGTAACAAGTTAAGAAAGTGGACAATTAGAAATAAGCAAATCCTAGGCGCTAATTATGATAAGATAATATTGAATCCATGATAACTTACTGTCCTGATGAATTACTAGCGAGCGCCCCGCTTTTAAGTGTATTATATATAACTTGACATGAGCAACCCGTGTTCAAATCGAGGTGCCGGCTTTAATGGAAATGTTAACTTTAAGTGCTGACTTATCTAAGAAAACCTGTATATTTTCGTAACTTTAACAAACATAATATATAAAATATAAATAAACAAATATATTTCCATGGTATGTAAGTCACAATTCGTTGCGTGATGGACTATCCCCATACACCTTATGTACAGATTTCTTTACCCAGTAGTGGGACTTGTAAAGGCTGTTACTTTACTTTTAATTATTATGGTGTACGGGGGTGGTTGGTTCGATTCCCACACGGGAATTCCGAATCTGGGTGTTTCAGGGTCGTAAAAAATACAGCTATACCCACTTAGAACATGATACACGTTATGCCGGCACACCTAGGTGGAATAAGGGCAGGAAGATGATGATGATCGTGGTAGTACAAAAGAATTAGAGTTCACTGGGACATTCAACTTAATATTTTAATAATTTACACCTTTCTGCACTTGAGATTTAGCGAATCAAATCACTCATCTTTTGTAAAATGTAAGGATAACGTGTGCAGAAGAATAAACGTTACGAAAATGCAATGAGTCGAGCGCTGATTGTTAAATGAAATTATGAAGATATATATATATATATATATATATATTTATATATTCCAAAATACACGATTTACCTAAAAAAATTGGTCCTCCAGATACCACCATGTTATGTGACAATTTCAACTATCTAACTGTCAAGGTTCATGAGACACAGCCTGTTGACAGATGGACAGACAGTCATACAGCAGAGTCTTAGTAATAGTCCCGTTTTACCTTTCACCCGGCGTACTTTTGAGTACGGAACCCTAAAATAAAAGACACTTCTGGCGATGTCTTAGTTCTCTTCATAACATCATATATCTAATATATAAAATTCTCGTGTCACGGGGTTCGAACTTGAACTCCTCCGAAACGGCTCGACCGATTTTTACCAAATTTTATATGCGTATTCAGTAGGTCTGAGAATTGGCCAACATCTATTTTTCAACCCCCTAAATGTTAAGGATAGTCCAGTCCACCCCTAAATTTTTTTTTTTATTTTTTAGGCAAAAATTTTTGTTTTTATTTTTTTATGACACAGCATACAAAAATACATACAACCCCAAATTTTCAGCTCTCTACGCAGACGTAGTCGCGGGCAGCAGTTATATATTACAACCGCGACAATAAATGAACACACGTCTAACGCTACTTGCCAATAATCATAAAAAAAAACAGTTTTTAATAATTTTACAAAACCAACATTTTAGAACACCTTTACGTATAAAACTGTAAGGTAAAGTTCATTTTGTAAAGATCACAAAGCATATGAATGGGATGAATGAATTTAAAAGAGACAAAACATACTGTTAGAAGGAGAGGCTTGTAACGCTGTGGCGCGAGTTATATAGGGTGTTACAAATTTTGTTTCTTTTTTACTTAATTAGTTTGTTTGGAAAATATTTTTTTTTATTATGGATTTTGTTTAACGTTAATATTTTTTATGATTATTGGCAAGTAGCGTTAGACGTGTGTTCATTTATTGTCGCGATGGTAATGACACGCTGTATAACAACAAATACTAAAAAAGTACGTGGGGCTGCCATACAACAGATACGATTTTTTTGCCGTTTGTATAGACAATGTAAGGATCCTCTCGTGTCCGACGTGTACTAGGCCGTTTTTTTTTCTTGTTGCTTTTGGAAAATGGAAGACCGGCAAAGGCGAAGGGAGGAGACTACTGTTTGTTTTTTTTTAAAGATGCACCAACAATATACATTAAAACATAACAAAAGATTTGATATGTATGCCCATTACATGTGCACACATCATTTATATGCAGTTTCAAGGCTAATAAAAATAATCTCGTTATAAAATGCTTAACACAGAAGAGAATTATATGTATCTATGATACACAAAAAAGATTAAGTGTAATCTTGTGCCCATGTCATGTCCTGTTTTTCAAAAATATTTTTGGACCAACTGACTAACCAGATAATTTTGATTTTGATCCATACTTTACAGGTCTGTACTATGCGAGCCATACAAGCCAAAATCGCTAAATTATTTTGTGCCTGGAAGAGTTCATGATGCACAGCAATGAGGAAAACGAGAAATTAATAAATTGATGACTTTTCATAGATCTGTGAAATGTTAAAATTATAATTGTGTGAAAAAAAAGTGTGCAAATGCGATAAACTTGTGTGACCAGATCTGTCATTCACAAGCATTGATTCACATCTCTTCTCATACTGGAAAGCACCATGGGGGTAGAACAGTGCAAAGTGAAATTGCAACTGTAGGCATTGGATGTTATGGATGCCCCTCTCTAACCTAGATAATCACTTTTCTATTATGTTGAATAAAAATAAAGCATCAAGATGAATTTACGAGGTACAGTGTACAAAAAAAAAGGCTAATAACAGTAATAACTTCTTATAACATTTAGAGACTATTAACATATTATAATATTTGATTAACATGAGAATGCAAGTAGAATAGTTGTACTGGGTAAATAGTATTGGGTAAAAAAACATATAAATTTGAATAAATTTATTAGGAGCATAACTTTACATTATATTATTAATTAGCAGCAAGTCCTTCTATTTTTGTTTTTGCAGCTGCTTGTACCAGCTGTTTACGTATTTCAAATGCAATAACAGCAGCCGCCATCCCTGTATTTAGGCTGTCAACTCCTTTCTGCATCGGAATATTTAATCTTAAGCCATTTTTCATTGCTCCTAACCTGAAAATCCGATGACCCATTATTGTCATTTCAAACAACAAATTATTAACATTATAACAATCACAGTGTTGTACTGTTTAATTCAACATACCTGTAGCTCATTTCACTTATACCTTCTGTCTCTCCTCCTATTACGAGTGTAATATGATCTAAAGTACTAAAATTAACACCATAATACGGTGCAACAGGTATTTGTGTACCTTGAGATTGAATATGTTCTTCTGTATCATTTTTAGAAAAGTCATAATTACTATCAGCAATAAAAAGGGAGGTGTTATCGGGCAAATGGTTTGGTATGTCATCCCATTCTATTGAAGGATATATGGGGAGCCTGAAGTGTGCTCCAGCAGCACTTCTAATTACTTTTGGTTCCCAAATATCAACACAACCTTGAAATAAAAATGTTATTAAATTTATACATGCAATTGATTTATAATTTTCAAACTAAATTTTATGTTGCTTAATAAGAAAAGCCTTTATGGACACTTAATATTACTTATATTTTTTAAGATATTTATAAGCATAAATTTATCAATGTTAAGGGGAAGATTGAAAGAATCATAACTTTGACTACCTTTGAATGAATGAATGAATGAATACACTTTTATTGTCCACCACAAATAACAATATACATAAAAGTAACAATAGAACAACAAATTTATGCAATGTACAATTTGGCGGCCTTATCGCTTCATAGCGATCTCTTCCAGGCAACCAATGGCTTAAAGGAAACGTATACTACGTAGGTGGTGCAATAGAAATATACATAATATATTATTAAAGCAGATACATACATTTATATATCCATATATACAAAAATATACATATATACTATATATATATATATATATATATACACATACTATACATATATATATGTATATATATATATATAGGGAGAATAAAATAATATAAGGAGAATAGGGAGAATTGATCGAAGGCGATGCATAGATCTGAGAGCTACAAAAGTTCTCCTACTAACTTCATTTAAATGGCGTGTCTAGCTTAAGGTACTGTCGAGATAAATGCCTAAGTTTTTGACATAATCACAGTATGGGATTATCACTCCATTGATTTTAATTGGCGGTAATGATAACCAGTCAATTCTTGATATGAAGGACCGGCCGCCAACAATTATTCCAATACCTTTCTGAGTAACATGTATTAATAATTTATAATTGGGCAAGTAAGTAAACTATTTGAACTAATTAAACTTTAACACAGTAAAATATGATATTTGCTAATCTAGTATTAAAATATCTCATTTGTAATGGCATTACTTATTAAAAAGGCACAAACAAGTATATTGTAATTAACTATTAACTGTCTTCAATTGTGGCCATAAAGAACACTTTAAATATCATCTAAAAAACATGCGGTTTTAAATAAAATTTTAATGCTTAAGTTATTGAAATCACTCGATGCAATTTTTTCTTCAATCCTTAGATTAAAGAAAATCTATCATTATATTTCCTTTAAGTTTAACAAGTGTGAAATATTAGACAATCATGTTGATATGAATAGTGGACTCAAACAAGCTGAAATGACGATGATGATGATCATATAATTTTGTTACTTTGCATGATAAGGGTCATAATATGTGACCAAAACATAATAAATGATCCATATAAATTAATAAATAATCTATATTTGTCACAACAATACCAAAACAAAAAAAGATATTTTTGTCTTTTCAAATTGAAAAGAAATCTGAAATATTTTTCTCATTAAAAATATTCAGATTATTTATATACAGATTAAATTGCATGAGAGTAAACAACAACTAAAGTTTTCATGTAAGTTAGAAGAAGCATTTAAGATGTTTTATTGCATAGATATTCCTTTTCATATATTTAATATTAAATTCACATTATATAATTAATGGATAGCATGGAAAATTAATTTTAAATTTATGATAAAATGAAAAAAAAATATGTAAAACAATCATTATAGTTCATTTGCAAACAACATATCTTTATTCCAATTTACCTTTGCTTAACAAAACTTTGTCACAGCCAACACCAACAGCTGCACGAAGAATAGCACCAAGGTTTCCTGGGACTCGGATATTATCACATAGAAACTGAAGAGGCAGTGGTTTCCCTAACCTTCTTATCTTATCAGGAGATGGCATATTGAATACTCCTGAAAGATTTTTTTAATAACATTAATAAAAAAAAACATTAAATCGATGTTTGAGAAAAATGGACAGCATTTCATACACACCTAAGATATTTTCATAAATAACAATTGCTTTTCAAGTTTATGTGAATGTAACACATTTTAAAACTGATTAAAGCCAGACTGATAGGCACTCAGTAAGTTATGTTAATTAAAAATATGGCGATTTCCTTGTGAATTATTCTTCCAGATTATTTGATAGGAAACACAGAATGGATGATATTTCTTGAACTTTGAACATAATTCGGTTGTGTAGGATTAGGGACCTTAAGAAGAGGCCGGAATCGAGGGAAAAGTTAATAATATGAGTGATTGCTGGGAGGAGATGCTCTAATAGAGAGACTATCATAAACCTGCTGATGTCATCACAGCCCATAGTCTTGGGCTTAATAGTTAACACAAACTACTTATTGTCATTTTTATCAAAAAGACTAAAATTTAATTGAGGAATGTGAGAAGATTGCATAGAAGTGAAGGACGCTATAGCCTGACAGTGGAATCGGAGGTCCATGGCAAAGGTGGAAGAAAAATGTGGGTTAATATCATCAAGAGAAAGAGAAGGACTAACAATACCGACAGATATAAGGAATTTCCAAACATCAGCAGGCGATGAATTAACAATTCTTATTAATAGAATATCGACATTTAGCTGTCCAATCAAATATCGACATTTGATTGCAATAAAACAGACCAGTTATTCTCAGTGTGTTTCCTTTTGAACTGACAAAAGGCCCGATTACGTCTCGCCATTGCCATCCTTACTTCAGTCATCCAAAAATCCTTTACCCCCTTGATCCCCCGCCGCCTTGTGTGTAGGCAGCAGGGGTATGTGGGAGTCCCTAGTGACACTGTCGCTTTTGCTGGGGAAACGGGAACACGCAATCTTTCGCGAAACCCGGCGCGACTGTGGCCTTATCAGGCCTCCTCTCTCCGGGTGTTTGTACACCCGGTCCAAATGGTGCCGTGTCGGTGCCATGAACACGGCACCCCTCTCAAGCCCTCCGCACGTCAGCAGTTAGTCCCACATGCTAGCCTTTAATTCAATATATTCGAGCAACATGAGTTCAATGCCCATTGCCGGCACCAATGAAATTGTTAATTTTTGCACTAGAGCATAAGCATAATACAGTTTAAGAATCTTGTTGTTGCGAATTGAGACTTTTTCAGACTGTAGGTGCTACTACCAAGAGTTTAAATTAAGATTTAATGCAGCAGACATGAAAACGTCAGAGCTTTTTCTGGAAAAACTGCCTACATGTAGTATAGAAGTATTTAAGAGGTTTAAGCTTGTAGGAAGAAGAGATAAGGCCGTGATGCAAGAACCCTGACGCGGGGATTTGACCATATGTTTCCGCATGATCAGGACAAACAGTTATAATAAGGTCAATCAAGGAGTCATCAATACAAACATTGTGCTGAGTTTCCCTTATAGAGAGAATAGAAAGATTAACCGAATTGATGATTGTCTGAAGTTGATGAGAGCAAGGGGAGCTTTTTAAAAGTTATTTACAGATATTTTTACAATTATTATTTTAAATTCTTGATATGATGAAAATCTTTATAAATATTACCTTATGGATTTTTCGTCAACTAACTAATTATATTTAATCTGTATTCCATTAAAAATGTAATTGATTATGTATTTTATTCAAAATTATTCTTACCTAATATTCCAGGACATGTCTCTACATTTGAGAATAGTTCCATTTCTTTATAGGAGACTTTAAATATTTCCACTCCAGTTTTTGGTAAAAATGGTCTCAAATTATTCAAATCTTCGCTCCGGCTAAATAAAATATAGCTTAAATCACATTTTGCTTCCAAGCCATCAACAATCAAACGCCAGCCTTCTACTAATATTTGATTGGAGCGTGTTCTTTCCTTTTTTGATTTCAATTTAACAAAAAATGAGCTAAAACAAATTTTTCATTTCATCCCAAAAAATTCAATCACAAAATATAAAATTTTTCAAAACATTTACACAATATGAATTAACAATTTTTAAATTTAGATTTGGACAGCATTATAAAAAAAGATGTGAATATGTGCTAATTATAATTAGAGAACATTGCTTAATATAAATACACCCATTTTTGTGAAACATGATAGAATTAGTAATGCGAGAACTTATGAACAAAAAGATATTATGTCGATGGCCTAGAACCATATGAGAAGTACTTCTCAATTCAATTCAAATTTTAATATAATGGCTCCATCAGGGAATAACTTGATGATTCTACCAATGTCGAAGTACTTACTATTACTAAAAAAACAATTTTACAGTTTACCTTATTCTGGAATCATTTTTATGTAATTTATCGAATATGATTTCGTTATTGTCATTAAATACTTTCTTCTGACTTAAATAAAACAATCTTTTCTTTAACATCACTTGTTTTTTATTTTTAACATTTTTAAAATTTTCTCTCGTATTTATGTCAGTATCAGATTGCTTTCCGGTTTCTTCCAATATTTCCTGCTGATGCCGCTGTATAGTACTGCCTGATTTCACGAAATCCGGAGCCAATTCTATGACTTTTTCTTTTTTTAGATTATTGTCTGACGTTGGTTCAAAAGGCAATAATACTTTTGCCGGTGTTCTATGCATCCATCTACCATAGAATCGAACAGAACCAAACAGTGCTGAATAATAAGAAGAAGAATAAACTAATGAACGATACAAACTTTTAGCCATTTTAAAAATTAAGTAAATAATACAAAAATAAATAGTTGTTCCGACTTCAACCAATATAATTTTGTTCGATACTTTGATTCTACTAATAGTGGTTATATTATTTTTGGTTTTGATAGGCACGGCACTTTAGGGTACTAGGCAGTGAATTAATTAAACGTAGTGGTTATATTCTCTTCGGTGAAATAAGTCATTCTGTGTACTTGCTTCGGCAGTACATATACTAAAATTGGAACGATACAGAAGTCATTCTGTTATTTGTACTTTGTAGTTTTGTAGGTTATGAATTATTGACGTTTGTTGATAATGAAATTATGAACCATAAATTTAGTGAGGGCCCTAAGGGACTACCGATTTTACGGTATTTAGAGGGTTAACTAAAACTGACATTATACTAATAAAAAAAATTAAATCACTTGAAATAATTGTAATAAAAGCCACGGGTATTTGTTGGAAAATAAAATTTATGATAAATAATATATATACACATCTCTTCTCATACACATCCATTTTTATTCAGGTAATTTTACTTGCGAACGGTATTAATTTTTACGGCGGCATTTTTTAGAAAATGTAGCTTTGAATTATCCCGTCGATCATTTTCATCAAAAACAACTGACAAATGGTTTTAAAAGCAACATTCTTATTTTCATTTAAGATTATTAAAATTAAAGATTAGGTTCAATACATCATTATTTTATACTAATGGGCTAGGCTTGTTATGTGGAAATTTTATAGAATTACATCGTTAGAGTATACCGTGCATTGTACGTATCTATTGTACTGTACATACATCCATACTTACTCATCTATTATAGTAAATGGAGAGCCGGATTTTTTGTTCGGTTATACTGCTGTGTAACCGAACAAAAAATCAATAAAAAAGTACTGAACCCATAGGAATAATACTTATACCATAAAATGCAGTGTGTTTGAAGAAGGTTTTAGTATATATATTATAGTAATAAAATGCAAATTAGCCGAGTGATCACAATTTTCGTGGACGATGTCGTTGGCGAAGTGTTTGTATAAAAATGCAGAAATATGTTTGTTTGACCTTCTTTAACTTCGCAAAGGATGATATAAATTTACAGTTGGAAATACAAATATAATATATAAATATTTATATACATTTATATTTATAGTTGGAAGATTGAAGAGCAGCAGATATATGAAAATACATTGATTTGTGCTTTTGATTTGAAGTCATACCAAATTTCAATGTATTTTTGTACGACTTTTACATCGAAATAGTGCTACTACTAAAAATTCAGTAAGTTGCGGATTTCCATCAATTCATATATAATCCATATCCATATTACAAAACAATGTATTTAAGTAGCTTCATTTCTATATGAAAGGGAAATTCGAGCACTTTAAAATGATCTGGCACTTAGAAACGATTGTAAACAAATTGCAAATAAATTCACACATATCGCGCAAAGTAGCAGGAAGCGACATAGTAAGTCATAGTATTTGTCAGTAAATAGTTATGGACATAGAACAATTCATATTTCAAAAGGAGCCCAATTTTCAAAAGGTTGTCAGCGCATCTGTAAACCTCGGGTATGGTAGATGTCCATGGGCGGCGGTATTCACTTACCATCAGGTGAACCGTCTGCTCGCTTGGCAACTTTTCACATAAAAAAAAAATGTCCAGTAAAATTTTAAATTAACGATAACGGTTTAATTAAATAGCTTATAATTGTAGGTAAATGCATTGAGGTAAATTTCAAAAAGTTAGTAATAAGTATTAAAAATTGTTTATTCCGTCTGCGATAGGTTGCCACGGTAATACCGTGAAGTTGGTCGAAGTTGGTCGCAATTATGTCTGTGTCGGGGATGTGCGCGTATCGTCATTTTACTCTCATAAACGTTTCCCAAACGTGCCAATAGGTGTAGGCGCGCCAAAAGTATAACTGAAAAAAAAACAGTCAGTCGTAGCTCACAATCTTGTATACATTACTTTTGAGTTGTAAAGGAACATTTTTAGGAAGTAATTTTTTAAAATATTTTTTTAACCTTTGATGCGTGATAAAATTTAAATTTATGCCCTGTTTTACACGTAAAGGAATTATTATTATCTGTATAAAACAAACTAATACATATCAATTTTTTAACATTTCATCTATTGGATTCTAAACATTATTTTCATAAAAATATGATATACAATGACGAGAGTTGTTGCCTTTGTATTTTATTTATTTCATTATTTTATTATTTATTTATTTTATTATTTGAAAGGACCTTTATTTTTGTAAAATTGTAGTTGTAAGGGGATAATTATGTCGTATTAAAAAAATGGTAAAATAACCTAGGTAGATTTTGAGATTTTTATTTTCAGCACTGTTGGGCATATTGAGCACTTTAGGTCGCGTTACCTTTGTCGTGCATGGTATTTTAATATTTAGCATTTAGGATGGTTTTTTTTGTAATAAAATTATTATATTCATGTACCAAATAAATATTTTTCTTTATTTGTTTCTTTCTTACCCAATAGACGAAGGGTCCTGTAATCTTGGCAGAGCAGAAAACTTCGGAAATTTATTATATAGACACGTTTGAATTTTTCATGATAGGTAAATTAGTGTCATCATCCATTATTAATATGGAATGACTTTTCATTTGCACCGAATTTAATATAAAGCAACATTGAATAACTTACGCAGTATACCTATTTTACTTTTTCAGTATAATATATGTCTTATCTATAAAGTACCTTAACCACTCTGTGGCAGTCAGTGGGACTGTGATCGTACGTTGCTATTACAGCGATTGTCATCTGTGAGCATCAGCTGAAAATTATCGTGTTTATGCGTAATAGTTGTGTTTATTTTTATATTGTCCGCAGCGATAGACAAAATGGCAACAGGAGTAAAACCTCGTGACAATGAAACTATGCTCTCAAGAAATGATTTGGAAGCGATTCAAGAAGCTATGAGAAGTAAGAAGTTTCGAGATATGTTGGCAGAGTACTGCAATGAAGTACGTGACCCGGCGAATCAAGCCCTTTATCAAAAAGAAATGACCCAACTAGAAAAGGAACGAGGCTATGATATTACATTTATTAATCCAAAGGGTGGTTATGTTATTAAAACAAGTGTTGCTGGCGACAGAAAGGCATTTATTAACATTTGTAGTAATGACAATATCGACAAACCGTCATATACAATTGAAAACGTAGACGGTCAAAAAGGTATGAATTGGAAAATTCCATATTCTCTAACACCTCCTAGAGAAGATTTTGATAATAAAAAACAACGTTGTGTGATTTACGATGTCGTTTTTCACCCTGACACTCTGCGCATGGCTGAAGTTAATGAACGTTTTCGTGAAATTGTAAATAAAACTGCTTTTGATGGTTTAAAAAGTACTTATAATATTCATTTGGATAGTATCAATTGCCGATTTCCAAAGTCTTCTTACAAAGGTATGGTAACTCCAGCAGTTGTAAGAAAAGAAGACCCTTTGTATAAAGCTTCTACAGGAGAAGAGAGGGAGGAAATTTCCTCAGAATTATTAGAAAAACTGTATCCTCAACACACTTACCCAGCAAATGTTGAAGAATCGACAAATGACAAAGCAGTGAAAATGCAGGATAAGAAAAAACCTTTTATAGAAAAAAAAGATTTTATACATTGTACTGACAAAGGATACACAATACCAAAATATGTTCTAAAGCAACAAAAAAGTGTAGACTTCCAAGATTATACCTATAACAAAGATTGCAAACAATTTTCTGCCATACCCAGTCATTTAGTAGTTGAGATAAACCTACCCATGATACCCTCAACCAAAGATTGCATATTAGATGTAAATGAAAGGTCACTGAGTTTAGTCTCAGAAAAACCAGCAAGGTATAAACTTGATTTAACACTGCCTTATCCAGTTGATGATAATTGTGGTAATGCCAAATTTGACAAAACAAAACACATGTTAATTGTCACTTTGCCAGTGATCAGATGTAAGATGTTAAATGAAAATCTAAACATTTTTAAAATAGACAGTGGTGTGGAAAGTGAGGAAAATTCAGGATCACACAGTGAAGAAGATAATTACAAAGAAAAATTACAACAAACAAAACATATTACAGAGATAAGTTCAGAAAGAGCAGTGCCAGATTTAAAACCACCCATTTCAGAAAATGAAATAATAAATGAAGAACCATTCTTACAGGGGTGTATTGGATATGTCTTGCCTCCATACACTCATAATGTTTTGGATGATATAATAGCCTTCACTTTTCATGTTAAAAATACTGAACCTGATTCAGTTATTGTAAGGAATGATGGGAACAAAATAAACATTAAATTTACATCAATTGGATCAGGCTTTGTACCAGTGCATCATGCTGCTATTATTATTTTTGAAGAAACTGTCAGATTTAAGGAAGTATCAGGGGAGGCATGGGATAATAATGTAATTCTTCAACTAGAGATGGTTGGTGACATTCCCCAAACATTTCAAATTGGTTTGTGTAAAGATTCAATGACAACTGAACATTTTGACACATCTCAATTTAAAAAGACAGTAGAGGTAGAGCAAGTTGCTCAAATTGTAAATTCCTCAAATGAAGTTGATACACCTACTGTGGAAGTCACCAACCTTGGTTCTGAGACAAATATTGTAGTGTCCTCCATTAATAAAAATGAACAATGTAATATGATAAAGGATAATGAGATTGGGTGGACAGATTCCGGCCATTGCATAACTGGTGCTAAAAGTATTCTTCGTAAATCAATGTCTATGATGCGTAGTGTTTCGGAGTCTAGTGTGGGAGATGTTGCATCATCTATGGACTATATTAGCTCTGATTACATTCCTGAAGAATCCAGCTTGAAAAAGACTGTTAGGTTTAATGATGTTATTGCTAGACAATTTTATAGGTAAGTATAGTAAGACTTAGATTGTAAAAGCAATATACAAGGAAATTTCCACTTTCAATTAACATCCTGTTATCTTAGATATGCAATCTTGTTTGTTCTTAAATTAATCTTGATATACTGTTTTTTTCTTAACATGTTATACATTGTGTTATTCATTTTTGGGATGTATAATAATAGATAACTAAAATAATAAATAAATCGAAAATGAAATTTTGATCTTTTTTTTCAGGTACAACTCCTCTATTGAAGGTCAAAAGAAGAAAAACCAACGAAAAAAGAGTAAAAAACGGAGCCAAGAAAGACACAGAAGTGAGAGTGAAGCTGAAGATGAAAATATTAACTCTGTTCAGGTATATTTATACTAATTGCATTAGTGTATTGTTTGGTAGCATTCCTCACATAGCGGCCACAAGTAAGACTCAGATTTGTTAAGATATAGTTTAACATTAGTTAGAAGTGTTTATATGGCTTATACACAAAGAAAATAAGGCGTTAAAAGTTAATTGAAGTCCTTTAGTGTGTCAAGAATAAAATAATTCCTGTTTTACTTCATTAAAATTATAATTATATTTCTTTGCTAAAAACAAACTAAAAGTTCCTTTTTAATATTTCAGGCATCTAAACCGAGACTAAAATCAGTTTTGAAACTCAGACGTGACAGTGGATTAGCTGATACATCTGATGCTGAAAATGAGTGCAGGAACTTACAATCAGACTCTGAATTGTCTTATGATAACACTTGTTATGAAAAAATGAAAGATGTTGATATTAATGCAAACAGCAAAGAAAATTCACCATTAAAAATGACTGATAAAAATGGTAATGGAAGTAAAAAGTTTGAACCACATAAATGGAAACCTAAAATTGAAACTACTTCTACTAAAAAAGAAATGAATCCAGTAACATGTGATAACATTAAACATAATACAGAATTCTACAATCCTGAAAATTTAAACAAAGGTCAATACCAAGAAGTTATGTTCAAAAATGATCTCATATTTGATTTAGACATGTGAAAATGGTCATGTATTCATATGTAATTAATTATAAAAACTTGATATAGTAGAAAGTAGTAATGCACTAGTTTGGCTTTTTTGAATAGATTTTCAGATTGGGGATTTCTGATTTATTTGTTTTTTCAATGTAATAATAATAATAATGTTCCTTTTATTCTAAAGATGTCCTTAGAGTAGGCTAGCCAAGTAAAGGCAATAGCAATAGTATATCTATGAAACTATGATATCTTGGATATTTTGAACTGTGTGAACCCAGTGTGTTCAAAAATGAGTCAATTATTGTTTTTTGAACTTGCATGTTTTATAATGGGATTACTTTTAATATTTAAATAACTAATGAAAAATTGTTATGTAAAATTTCAGGATAAATCTATGATTATTGCATGCCCATATTAAACAATATTTATAAAAAGTATTTCAAAGGTACAAATTAGATGTATTATTACTTGTGGTTTTAAAATAAATTTAGTATCGAAATGATTACCTCTATAATAGAGTTATTAATTTTGTATTTTTTACACATTATCAAATTATGAAATAAGTTTTATGGATCCAAAAATTTTTGATGTAATGTACACCATTTTTAAACTTGATTTTATGAACTAAATTTTTAGCAAACCACAAGTATACAGGTGTTAGTTGCTCAATTATCATTAGTGCCTTCATGTAAAATAATTGAGCACTTTAGATCGAAGCAGCCGTTAATCCCATCCATTGACATTATTAAAAATTAAAAACCTGATGTCATACATTGCCATGCATTTAATATCATTAGTTTTTAATTTGTAGCTAAATATGATAATGTTAAAAAAAGTTTAATCCCAAGATGTTTTGAATATTGGAAATAATATTTAATAAAGTACTTGATATTTTTTTTTTTTTATGAAATTTTCTCCTATAACATTTTACATATTTAAACTGGTAACTTCCAACCTGGTCAAAGCGCCAGCCGTTTGATAAAAGTATATCAGCAGATTGATAACTAACAACACTTTGTAAGAACATTAATTCTTGTTGACCATTTATGCATATATTTTGGACGTTAATAAGCAGTGTATCTACAATTTGTATGCTATATTTCTGGTAGTAATATTTTAAATTGGACGAATAAGAAACAGAAGTAAGCTTTTAGCGATGAACTGTTGTTTGACAAGAATAGAAAAGTTCTAGCTTATATTCTAAATACATACTTATAAACGGTAAGCGGATTTAATTTTCTAAACACAATAACAAAGTATAAATTTATTTATTTGTATACTTTGCTACGATTATATTATTTGCGATTTATGTTAGTAAGAGAAAATTTTGGAACGATATTTATAATGCAATGCACACTTGAGTCTAATGCAGCAATTACTAAAATGGTAAGGTCTACACTGCAACTTTGAGTACAATCTTCCTAACTATACAAAATATTATATTATTTACGAACCCTCAAGTGTTGACTGAGTATAATAAAAAAAACTTGTATATTACAATGTAAACGGTAACTCTGTTATATTTATTTAATAATAACGTCGGCAATCTATTTCTAGTTGTTAATTATGTACTTTGAATCTATAACTTATGTTACAACACTTAACTCTGATATTCAAAAGTTGTCGTTTAAACGTGTACATTCATTATTTATTTTTAAGTATTTACTGAAATAATGGTGACTAATATAACGCATGAATGTAATTAAAGCTTACAGTAACTTGAATATTTACAGATCCATACCAAAAGTGATTACTTTTCGGTAGAGGCGATGGTAGAACTATGAGTCTCATATTGCAGGTAGTCTCTAAATGAGACGATCCTGATCTTGTAATATTGAACACCCATGAATTGCGTAATTTGATTCCTCTATCCCCTTTTAAACGCTCTGCAGGACTCCATAAGTTTATTGTAGATATTCTACGCGTTTGCACGAAGAATTTGGCCTCTTCTTTCATAACATCATAACGCTTACAGCAAAAGTTGAACAATTTGTTCACCTTCCAGTTTTTCCGTTCGAGTATAATTGTCGAATATAATGCGACGGGCCGCCTGCCTGACGTTAACCCGCCTTGGGAAACAAACACCCAGATCCGGAACAATTGTTTGTGGCCTGTGGATCACAAATACATGTCCCGTGTGGGAATCGAACTCACGACCCCCGTAGTCGAAGCTAGTAGCTTAGTAATGGTGCCAACGAGTCATCTACTGGCACAATAAAGCAAACAAAATAAGAGGAAGTCTGAAGATTACAAATGAATTGGCATATTCAGCTGCTGTGGTAGAGCCACACAGTAGCTTACGAGAGGACGAGAGTTAATAAAAAAACTAAAATAAAAACAAAGAAAGTTATAAAGCCAAAATTTATTGTTCGGTTATATTGCGAAAACTAATGAACCGATCGGAATAATACTTATACAATAAGATGCAGCGTGTTTCGGAGAAGGTTTTAATAGATGATATGTTGGTGATTACTTATTCGGAACCTATATAGTTTTGACTTAAAGAAGATGGTATGACCCATCGAAGCGGGCGGGGTACAACTTGTACCTAGTATATGAATGGAATACAGTTGTATATTAATCAGACACGCATAACTTTAAAATTTACAAACAGTACTGATATATTCTTACTATACGGCGCAATAAATATTAAAGAGACACGCTGAATGCTGCATTGCATAATCTGATTAAAGATTAAAATAGAAGATAAGATTATGTCTCTGAGACATAGCACGAAATTCAATTTTTACAGAGACCAGAAGTATTTCTCTTTCATTTTGTTTGAAGTAACCACGGCCACATTTTTTAATGTTGGCAACGCACCTGCAACCAGTCCGGTATTGTACAGGTCCAAGGGTGGCGGGAATCATTTAAAATTAGGTGAACCAACAGATCGTTTGCCAACTTTAAAAAAAAAATAATTTGTTGTTGCGGCTAAATACCATGCAAAATAAACAACAGCAGAAAAGAGTAACTTTTACATTTTATAGTCGATACGGAGCAATATCTTATTTTCGTAACATGGTTTCAATGTGATATTGAAACATAAATTTAAAGAAATTTCCCTTGTATAGAGTTTCATAGGGCAATTAATTATACATACGTTGTAGAAAGGCTATCGCCGCAAACAGGGCATGAAGAAGGACAGCATTCTTGTCATATATGGAATGCAAGAAACAAGGATCTGTATACAGTCGAAATTAGTGACTTTGGCTCCCTTGTTCCTGACCATACTTCTTGCCAACATTGCCTTTCGGTGGTATAAATTTGCTATAGGAATGAATAATATTTTACGGTATACTAAGTATAAGTAGTAAAAAATTTAACAAAGTAATACACAACGAATAAGGACATTTATTTTAGCATATTACGATATATTTTTTATGTTCAGAGTACTATAATATTAAATTTAAGACTAATGAATGACTCAACTTTATGTTGGTTTAATTTACATTTGTACTTAATAATTATAGCGACATATACTGCGACATATATAAACTGTTATAACTGTAGTAAAGAGACGTTCGACGCTCTCTCTTTATAACTTAAAACCTCAAAATAGTGGATTAAAAATACGTTTAGTTACCTATTAATTAAAGATGTAGTTTTCAATAAAAGATAATAAATATTAACCATAATGAAAAGGTTATCTTTGGATTCGACACTGATTATGGTATTTTTGATCATGAAACTAATTAATAATCAATTGAAAAAATGGGCCATAAAGAATGAGGAGCGCATTATTATTAGTTATATTTTTTTTAGTTAATATGTTAAATCCGGAGTATTACATAGGGGTGTTCATCAATTACGTGAGGTGACTTTAAGTCTGGAGAGATTTCGCCACCTCCCGGCCTGGTGAGAATTCGTGAGATTTGGCTCAAACCCCTCCCCATTCCCCAATCTCACGTGAGATGTTTTAAAATGCATGATCTTGTAAATGCATCGAAGTTACCATTTGATCCCATAAAAATTTACAATAGTTAGGCCAAGTACTTTTCATTTTATGAACATTTTTACAATATTTTAATGTTTGTCAATCAAATCTTGCAAATTAAATTTGATCTACTTCCCGGTTACAGGTTGAGCTGAAATTTTGTATACATGTGCAAATCGCGAGACAATGCAATGCAATTTTTATGACATGGTGCTGATCTGATGATGGAGCTGGAAGGTGGCCAAAGGAACTTCGCATTGAAACGACAGAGCCTCATCACGTCTGGGTACATTTGAATCGCATTGACGAGTAGTTTGTCTTTCATTGGTAACCAGGGTCTGATGATGGAGCTCCATCTTCAGCCGTCCATGGACATATGCATAGGGTTGCAGATGCCTTTTCTCCTTATAATAATGTGGGCCCCGGCTACCTCACTCACCAGACGAAACGTAGAAGTACTTTACGCCGATCTTCTGTGAGATCTATGAGGCTATTCTGTGAGGTTCTTATGACCACTCTCTAATGAAACGTCTCAACCCCATCGAGTTTCGGCTCGTTTGATTTGTCTTCGAGTCCTTTGGTGCTAGATGGTAACCAGGGTCTAATGACAGAGCTGCAATGTGGCCATAGGAACTCAGTAATTAAGGAACACAACTGCGTCGAGTTTGATTCGTCTTAATGGGTCTTAATGGGACCGTTTTTGATGGGTGGTGAGAGGTGGTAGTTTAGTGGACGTGAGTATGCGACCCCATCTTTGGAAAATAAAATTTGTTCGTACCGTTTGTTATGAAGGTGGATTCTGTCTTTGATTAGATGGATGAGCGCTGAATATTATGAATGAATGAATGAATGAATAAATATTTTTTTTGTTATTTATAAACATTATTTTAACGTGGACGATGTAATTTTAGTTTGTGTACGGCTATTTTAGGAGTTTTCATTTCGGTTGATTATATATTATTATTAACCCGTGTCCCGATAGTCCCGTCTTTTGCTACTTGTCATTGAAGTGGAGCCAGCGTGCGGAGTAGAGGTATTGAAAAATATGATAACCAATACGACTACATAAAATCTGGTAACGA